CCCACTCCTTAGCCTTTGGGAGCAGCACAGGGTAGGATGCAGGGGAAACCAAAATCACTTGCTATCCCCTTTCCTCCCCCTTGCTCTTTTTTGTTAAATAGCCTGAGGGGGGAAATAATGGCAAGCAATTCTGACAGGCGAGTTTACGAACCAATAATGTTGTGGAAAACCTCTGAGGTCGTCCTGCCAACCCTGGGCCTGGGCCAATGAGATGAAACTTCTGCCAAGCAATTACTCCCTGCAATTAACCAAAGAAACCCGGGGATGTAATTAACCGAGCCCTGGGAAGAAAATGCCTGGTGAGGCAATCACTGCACAGCCATGCATGAAAGGAACATCACAGCAAATGTCTCTCTGCTTGCCCAGCCCAGCTGGTTGGAACCTCACAGGCATGGCAGGGACCAAGAAAGGATGGAGACTAGCTAGGGAGGAGCATTAAAAGGCAAGAAAAGCTCTCAAGCTAGGAGCTGCAACTCCTAAACCCTCCAAGGTATCGACAGGACCCACTCCTCCCCACGGAGTCACCCTTCCAAAGGCCAGATCGAAGCACGCTCCTTGCCTGCCCTTTAAGGTCATTAATCAATGTGCGCTGTGCTTCTCAAGCACATCTGGACCCGTTCTCTCTCCTTCCCTCTCCTGCCCCATCTGCCTCCCCTGCCCACGATAGAATGGGGCCTTTTACCAGGTGGAAATAAAGGTCCAAACCCAAACAGCCAGGACTGGCAATCTGAACTCCTCAGATGGGAGGGAATTCACCTGGGAATTCTCAGGCACCACCCAACTGTCTAGTTCCAGCCGTGACACCATCAAAAGGGGACCCGCTTTCTAGCTCCAGTTCGGACGAGACCCAAGCCTGGAGAAATTTTGATCGATTGGTTATTCCAGGAAAAGTTACACCATTGCAAGAGGGAGAAGACATTTGAACATGGGTCTCCGATAAAGGCAGGCGTGAGCCCCAATGGCTGGGCTACGGGGCACTTCCTGGTGAAGCTGTGCCCCTGTTTATAGCTAATTAAGCCGGCACTGGAGCAGGGACGTCAGCCTGGGGCTTCCCCCCTCCGAGGCAAGTGCCCGAGCCACCCATCCATAGAGTCATTCTCACTCAGGCAGCCAGGCCCAGTGACCAGTCAGGGTCATTCTGCAGTCCTATGAATTGCCGCTAAGAATGACCCACGTTCAAATCCCTCCACCGCGTCAGGTGAGTGCCCCAACACCGGCTCCAGGCTATGTGGGAGGCCGATGCTGCCGGTAGTTCGTTCCGATCAGCCCAAAGCAGATGTTCTTCATTTGCCAAAACCTGTTCTGCAATTTTTGGATGTGGTTTGAGCTGAACCGATTCTTCTTCCTTCTTCAGAACTTCCAGGAAACCAGAAAAAAAACAGTTCTGTGCCCAGGTCCAGGAGCGGGGGTCTGACCCCCTGGCGCCAGCCTGGTCACGCGTCTGAGGCTGGAAACCACCACCATGCCCAGCTCTGCTTCCTCCCGCCTCTCCCTCCTGGGCTGGGGCTGCACTAGGACAGCTGGGAGCCGTAATTGTCCCCCACAAGGGTCTCGCTCTACTTACCACTCTCACCAACATCTACCACACCTGGGAGCAGATCCCTTTTGCCCTGTTTGCACTCCAGCTCCGTCAGTAGCTGCCATCGGTGGAGAATTATGGAGTCCTGGCTTTCCTAATGCGGAGACGTTCCTACACCTGCCTTGATTCACCCCACTCTCCACCCCAGGGGTTGGGTTATCCCAGGCGGCACCTTCCATGCTTCTTCTGACACCCATAAGCTCACCACTAAGAACCTGTTTAGCAAGTTCCCCACCAGCTGGGCTAAATCCCCTTCCGGCACATCCACACCCTTTGCTCCACCCCCACACCCAAGCAGCCCTATCTGCCACTACATCTTCTGACTGCATCCCTGACATGTTCCAGGTGCCTCCTGGATCTCCAACTCCTCTATGACCTTCAGTGTCAAGGCGGGTTCCTCAGGCAGATGTGATCCATCTGGGACAGTTAACCCCCAAAATCCCAGCACCCTCCAGGCTGGAACATGCTGGCCTCTGAAAGTGAGCATGCAAAACTGGCCTTCAAAGATTCCACCTGGGGCTGATTTACAACAGTGGGTGAAGATCACTTTGCATCTGAATCCAGGCAGGGCAGGTGTAGTCCAGAGGAGCTTCTGGCACTGGGCAACGTCTGACCGTAAGTCACATCAACACAGAGCACTTGCAGTATGCGGGACCTTTCGTCAGAGCTTTGGAGCTCCACGTTTCACGGCCCATTGTTATCCCCATGCGCGGCACGGTGGGGAAGATCCCAGGGTGAATGCAAGGGCAGAGTCAAGCATAGAACTCAGGTGTCCTGCCTCCCAGGCCCCTACTCTTGCCGCTAAACGACACTTCTCCACGAGCGCATTGCAAACGGAGTCTAAGGGTATGTCTACACTACGAAATTAGGTCAAATTTATAGAAGTCGGTTTTTTAGAAATCGGTTTTATATATTCGAGTGTGTGTGTCCCCACCGAAAATGCTCTAAGTGCATTAAGTGCATTAACTCGGCGGAGGCTAGCGTCGACTTCCGGAGCGTTGCACTGTGGGTAGCTATCCCACAGTTCCCACAGTCCCCGCTGCCCATTGGAATTCTGGGTTGAGATCCCAACGCCTGATGGGGCTAAAACATTGTCGCGGGTGGTTCTGGGTACATATCGTCAGGCCCCCGTTCCCTCCCTCCCTCTGTGAAAGCAAGGGCAGACAATCGTTTTGCGCCTTTTTTCTTGAGTTACCTGTGCAGACGCCATACCACGGCAAGCATGGAGCCCGCTCAGGTAATCGTCACCGTATGTCTCCTGGGTGCCGGCAGACGTGGTACTGCATTGTTACACAGCAGCAGCAACCCCTTGCCTTGTGGCAGCAGACGGTACAATAGGACTGGTAGCCGTCATCGTCATGTCCAAGGTACTCCTCGGCAGACATGGGTGCAGGGACTACATTAGAAGTGACTTGACCAGGTCATTCTCTTTAGTCCTGCAGTCAGTCCTATTGAACCATCTTATGGTGAGTAGGCAGGCAATACGGATTGCTAGCAGTCCTATTGTACCATCTTCTGCCGAGCAGCCATGAGATGTGGATGGCTTGCAGTCCTTCTGCACCATCTGCTGCCAGCCAAAGATGTAAAAGATAGATGGAGTGGATCAAAACAAGAAATAGACCAGATTTGTTTTGTACTCATTTGCTTCCCCCTCTTCCCCTGTCTAGGGGACTCATTCCTCTAGGTCACACTGCAGTCACTCACAGAGAAGGTGCAGCGACGTAAATCTAGCCATGTATCAATCAGAGGCCAGACCAACCTGCTTGTTCCAATAAGAACAATTACTTAGGTGCACCATTTCTTATTGGAACCCTCCGTGAAGTCCTGCCTGAAATACTCATTGATGTAAAGCCACCCCTTTGTTGATTTTAATTCCCTGTAAGCCAACCCTGTAAGCCATGTCGTCAGTCGCCCCTCCCTCCGTCAGAGCAACGGCAGACAATTGTTCCGCGCCTTTTTTCTGTGCGGACGCCATACCAAGGCAAGCATGGAGGCCGCTCAGCTCACTTTGGCAATTAGGAGCACATTAAACACCACACGCATTATCCAGCAGTATATGCAGCACCAGAACCTGGCAGAGCGATACCGGGCGAGGAGGCGACGTCAGCGCGGTCACGTGAGTGATCAGGACATGGACACAGATTTCTCTGAAAGCATGGGCCCTGCCAATGCATGCATCATGGTGCTAATGGGGCAGGTTCATGCTGTGGAACGCCGATTCTGGGCTCGGGAAACAAGCACAGACTGGTGGGACTGCATAGTGTTGCAGGTCTGGGACGATTCCCAGTGGCTGCAAAACTTTTGCATGCGTAAGGGCACTTTCATGGAACTTTGTGACTTGCTTTCCCCTGCCCTGAGGCGCATGAATACCAAGATAAGAGCAGCCCTCACAGTTGAGAAGCAAGTGGCGATAGCCCTGTGGAAGCTTGCAATGCCAGACAGCTACCGGTCAGTTGGGAATCAATTTGGAGTGGGCAAATCTACTGTGGGGGCTGCTGTGATGCAAGTAGCCCACGCAATCAAAGATCTGCTGATATCAAGGGTAGTGGCCCTGGGAAATGTGCAGGTCATAGTGGATGGCTTTGCTGCAATGGGATTCCCTAACTGTGGTGGGGCCATAGACGGAACCCATATCCCTATCTTGGCACCGGAGCACCAAGCCGCCAAGTACATAAACCGCAAGGGGTACTTTTCAATAGTGCTGCAAGCTCTGGTGGATCACAAGGGACGTTTCACCAAAATCAACGTGGGATGGCCGGGAAAGGTGCATGATGCTCGCATCTTCAGGAACTCTGGTCTGTTTCAAAAGCTGCAGGAAGGGACTTTATTCCCAGACCAGAAAATAACTGTTGGGGATGTTGAAATGCCTATATGTATCCTTGGGGACCCAGCCTACCCCTTAATGCCATGGCTCATGAAGCCGTACACAGGCAGCCTGGACAGTAGTCAGGAGCTGTTCAACTACAGGCTGAGCAAGTGCAGAATGGTGGTAGAATGTGCATTTGGATGTTTAAAGGTGCGCTGGCGCAGTTTACTGACTCGCTTAGACCTCAGCGAAACCAATATTCCCACTGTTATTACTGCTTGCTGTGTGCTCCACAATATCTGTGAGAGTAAGGGGGAGACATTTATGGCGGGGTGGGAGGTTGAGGCAAATCGTCTGGCTGCTGGTTACGCGCAGCCAGATACCAGGGCAGTTAGAAGAGCACAGGAGGGCGCAGTACGCATCAGAGAAGCTTTGAAAACCAGTTTCATGACTGGCCAGGCTACGGTGTGAAAGTTCTGTTTGTTTCTCCTTGATGAAACCCCCCACCCCTTGGTTCACTCTACTTCCCTGTAAGCTAACCACCCGCCCCTCCTCCCTTCAATCACTGCTTACAGAGGCAATAAAGTCATTGTTGCTTCACATTCATGCATTCTTTATTCATTCATCACACAAATAGGGGATGACTACCAAGGTAGCCCAGGAGGGGTGGTGGAGGAGGGAAGGAAAATGCCACACAGCACTTTAAAAGTTTACAACTTTAAAATTTATTGAATGTCAGCCTTCTGTTTTTTGGGCAATCCTCTGTGGTGGAGTGGCTGGTTGGCCGGAGGGGCCCCCCCCCCACGTTCTTGGGCGTCTGGGTGTGGAGGCTATGGAATTTGGGGAGAGGGGCTGTAGTGGCAGTCTGTGCTCCAGCTGCCTTTGCTGCAGCTCAACCATATACTGGAGCATACTGGTTTGGTCCTGCAGCAGCCTCAGCATTGAATCCTGCCTCCTCTCATCACGCTGCCGCCACATTTGAGCTTCAGCCCTGTCTTCAGCCCGCCACTTACTCTCTTCAGCCCGCCACCTCTCCTCCCGGTCATTTTGTGCTTTCCTGCACTCTGACATTGTCTGCCTCCACGCATTCGTCTGTGCTCTGTCAGTGTGGGAGGACAGCATGAGCTCGGAGAACATTTCATCTCGAGTGCGTTTTTTTTTCTTTCTAATCTTCACTAGCCTCTGGGAAGGAGAAGATCCTGTGATCATTGAAACACATGCAGCTGGTGGAGAAAAAAAAAGGGACAGCGGTATTTAAAAAGACACATTTTATAAAACAGTGGCTACACTCTTTCAGGGTAAACCTTGCTGTTAACATTACATACATAGCACATGTGCTTTCATTACAAGGTCGCATTTTGCCTCCCCCCACCGCGTGGCTACCCCCTCAACCCTCCCCCCCTCCCCGTGGCTAACAGCGGGGAACATTTCTGTTCAGCCACAGGCAAACATTCCCGCAGGAACAGGCACCTCTGAGTGTTCCCTGAAGAAAAGCACTCTATTTCAAGCAGGTGACCATGAATGATCTCTCACTCTCCTGAGGATAACACAGAGAGATAAAGAACAGATGTTGTCTGAACGCCAGCAAACATACACTGCAATGCTTTGTTGTACAATGATTCCCGAGTACGTGTTACTGGCCTGGAGTGGTAAAGTGTCCTACCATGGAGGACGCAATAAGGCTGCCCTCCCCAGAAACCTTTTGCAAAAGCTTTGGGAGTCCATCCAGGAGAGCCGCGAATGCCAGGGCAAAGTAATCCTTTCACATGCTTGCTTTTAAACCATGTGTAGTATTTTAAAAGGTACACTCACCGGAGGTCCCTTCTCCGCCTGCTGGGTCCAGGAGGCAGCCTTGGGTGGGTTCGGGGGGTACTGGCTCCAGGTCCAGGGTGAGAAACAGTTCCTGGCTGTCGGGAAAACCGGTTTCTCCGCTTGCTTGCTGTGAGCTATCTTCTTCATCCCCAAAACCTGCTTCCGTATTGCCTCCATCTCCATTGAAGGAGTCAAACAACACGGCTGGGGTAGTGGTGGCTGAACCCCCTAACATAGCATGCAGCTCATCATAGAAGCGGCATGTTTGGGGCTCTGACCTGGAGCGGCCGTTCGCCCCTCTGGTTTTCTGGTAGGCTTGCCTCAGCTCTTTAAGTTTCAGGCAGCACTGCTTCGGGTCCCTTTATGGCCTCTGTCCTTCATGCCCTGGGAGATTTTGACAAAGGTTTTGGCATTTTGAAAACTGGAATGGAGTTCTGATAGCACAGATTCCTCTCCCCAAACAGCGATCAGATCCCGTACCTCCCGTTCAGTCCATGCTGGAGCTCTTTTGCGAGTCTGCGACTCCATCATGGTCACCTCTGCTGATGAGCTCTGCATGGTCACCTGCAGCTTGCCACGCTGGCCAAACAGGAAATGAGATTCAAAAGTTCGCGGTTCTTTTCCTGTCTACCTGGACAGTGCATCTGAGTTGAGAGTGCTGTCCAGAGCGATCACAATGGAGCACTCTGGGATAGCTCCCGGAGGCCAATACCGTCGAATTGTGTCCACAGTACCCCAAATTCGACCCAGCAAGGCCGATTTAAGCGCTAATCCCCTTGTCATGGGTGGAGTAAGGAAATCGATTTTAAGAGCCATTTAAGTCAAAATAAAGGGCTTCATCGTGTGGACGGGTGCAGGTTTACATCGATTTAACGCTGCTAAATTCGACCTAAAGTCCTCGTGTAGACCAGGGCTAACTCAGTCGCTCCACATTTCGCCCACTGCCACTCGCTGCATCACTCGGAAACAGCCCAAGATGGGACAGAGAAACTGGGAGAGGCCCCTGAGACAGAGCTAACGCACTAACCTGCCGGTGCTGGAGATCGGCCTTCCAGGAAGCAATGAAGTTGGCTGGGTCTGCGGCCTGTACCAAACACCAGCTCTTCAGCCAACTGGGTGTCGCGGCCCGCAGAGCATCGCTTCTCAGGAAACTCCCAGGAGCCGGAGGAGCGTGTGTGGGTGTGCCAAGGGGCTGAGACACCTCCGCAGAGCCTGCCAGAGATGGGAAGCTCCTGCCCAGACTGTGCCACATTCATGCGGGCGCCACCATCGCTCCCCAGCTCGCACGTTGCTCACCCGGGGAGTTGGTTAGCCAGTGAATTCCCACGCAGTCAGCACCGCCCAGGGGCCAGCCCATTGCTCTCACTGCAGGGTCCCAGCACAGCGCAAAGGCGGACCAGCCCCTGCCCGAAGAAATCCTGCCTGGGCTCTTACAATACCCGGCTGGAGCAGGCAATAGTTGGGACTCCTGGGTTCTATTACCAGCAGGAGAGGGGAGCGTGGTCTAGTGCTGAGAGCAGGAGACACCTCGGCCTCGCCAGGCTGGTTCAGACCTAGGGTCCATCCAGCCCTGTCTTGGACAGTGGCCAACATGCCCATCCCACACCTCACCCTGCCAGCTGGAGGAAGTCCACCCAGCACTATCCCACAATGCTCCTGCTCACCCTCAGAGAGCTCCAAGCACTGACTGTCACCGGTCAGGGCAGAGCGTCGTTGGGAAGGTCTTTAGCTGGTCTTGGCTCTGGCTGGCCCCCAGCCCAATCCAGGTAGCCCGAGAGCAGTGTGGGCAGGACAACATGCCCTCTTCTGGCTGCGTTTCTGCCTTGCCGGTGGTACAATGGTACCATGCGACAGGGGGATGGGCCAGGGGGAGGTGTAATCACAGCCGCAGTGGCCATGCCTGTGTGTGCAGGAGACGTGCATCGCACGGGCACCAGGGTGGGTCCAGGAGCTGCTGAGAAAGTTCCCATTCCAAGCCACTAGGACACAATCTGTCCACATCCGATCACCACCCTGAGAGACCCAAATCGGGGACGGGGGTGGGGTAGTTGGAACATCTGCTTTGAAATCAGATATAGCACCCCAGGAAATGCCCAGGGTCACATTTTCCACCCTTGGGGTGAACTCCTGGCCCTACTGAGGTCAGCAGCAGTTTGCCATTGACTTCTATGGGGCCAGGATCTCCTCCCCACTACCTACTTCATGCCCACAACATGTACACCCGGACGTGCAAACTGGCATTTGCATGTGCAAAACACCCCCAACACGGTTTCAGGGGGTTGCACTCGGGATGAAGTGGGCCTGCTCCAGCTTGCTGGAGGCAGCATTGTCTAGTGGACGCAGCCTGGGGGCTATGACTCAGGAGACCTGGGTCCCTTTCCTGGTCTTGCCCCTGCTTTGCTGGGTGACCTGGGGCAAGTCCCTTCCCCTCTCCATGCCTCAGTTTCCCCTCCCACCCTTTGACTCTTGTCCAATGGCTCCTGGTATGTTAGCCAGGGTGAATACACTGCATCCCCAATGCCCTCTCCTCCCGCAGCGAGCCAGGAATGGACCAGGTTCTGCAGCATCGCCAGCTCTCCGGGATACCCTCTTGGGCCCACAGCCTAACACTCCCACCTTCCAGAGCCTCTGTGAGTAGCTACCCAACCAGCCACGGCTAGCCCACGCTGCGGGTCTCTGCCAGCAAGAAGGGCTGCGCCCCACCCTGGATCCATGAGCGGGGGTCACGGCCCTGCTGCAGACCCGTAGCAAGGCCCCTGAGCGGGGGGGGGGATGGATCAGCCCGAGGAGAGAAGGGCTGGGGCTTCCCTCCCTGCGCCCACAGAGGGCAGAGCAATTCAGCCAGCGGCAGCCAGTTCTCTTCTCAGGCCACGCGCTGGGGGCCAGAGGGTAAACCCCCTCCTGGATGTGTCAGAGGCTCTGGAGCAACCGTGTCAGGCACCCACGCCCTGAGGCTGATGGGCGACCGTGCTCCGGGCCCCTCTGCAGCTCCTGGTGTCTAGCCTCAGATAGAAGAGACACCAGGACCCAGCTCCGTGAAGGACCCGGCTCTCCCCAGACCAGGGCTGGCTGGGCACCCCGGAGTCCTCTGGCCAAGCTGGCCAACGCACCCTGTCTGGAGCTGGGGGCACCATGCCAGGGACCAGGCGGGGAGGCCAGCCGCCATCCAGTCCTCAGCCTCTGCTCATACAGCCAGAGGGCCGGGGGACCAGCTGAGAGTAGCTTGGGCTCTCCACCGCCCTCAGCTGGGAGCAACTTTCACCTGCTTTCCCCTGGGACAGAACCAAGCCCCCAGCTCCTCCCTGTCCTGTTGCTGGCTGTTAGATGCCACGGTGGGAGCTGAACAGATAATGAGAAAATGCGGGGGGGGGAATCCCCTGGCTGGGGGCGCCTCTATCCTCCCCCTTTACCTGGTAAGATGCTGGTTCCACCTGCACCATCCAGCTCTGCTCTGAGGCGTGTCCATGGCCCCTGCACCCCTCATCCTGGCACCAGCCTGCCCGCCCTCTAGGCTCCTGGGGTGCAGGGTACCGGCGCCCCTCCTCCAGGGCTGACCCACACTCCCCCTCTGCTCCAGCCGGCCCAGCCCTTCAGTGCTCATGGCGGAGCCCCCAAGAACAGCCGGGGGACGATTCCTCCTGGGGCGTATCGCTGGGCGACCGATTGATGTAAGGACGTGGTAACTGTTGTCCAAGCTCTGCTCCCAGGACTGCAGGCTGGGAACTGGCTGCTGGCTTGTTTCACTGAATGGGGGGGGGCCTTCCATTGGCCAACCAACCCTCCACCCCATAGCCCACTGGGGCACCTGGTTAACCCTCGCAGGACCGCTTCACTCCAGTAATGAGCTGTGGGGCGTGAGCCTCTGCACCACTGCCCCCTGGTGGAGAGAACGGGACCTGCTGCTCTGTGTGTCAGAGGCTCCAGACTGCTGGGAACCTGAACCTCAAAACTCAGGGGAAGCTGCTTCAGAGGAAGCAAAGGAGAACCAGGGTCCCCAGCCCCACTATCCCCAAAGGGGTAGGGGGAAGGCGGGGAAGGGTGAACTTGCCCCTCCCCCACTCACACCCCCCCTAAATGGGCCCTGGGTTCCCCGCCCCACCTCTGGTATCTTCAGAGGGGTCTCAGCTGGTGTCTCTGGGCTCTTTGGGGGAGCACTGAGGCCAGGGCCCCCCCGGCAGCAAACATCAGCGCAGTCTGGCTGGCTGCCCACAAATGGTCCAGCAGCAGGGGGCTGGAACTGTTCATCCCAGGTCCCCTGGGGCCAGCGTGCACCCCGGTCCCTGGGCCCCGCCCTGCCAGCACCCCGGGGAGCAGGGGCGAGCCGGCGCGGCCTGGAACCCAGACGCTGGCTAAAGACGAGCAAGGGAGGAATTCAGGCAAGGGGAAAGGCCATGGAAGCCATGCGGGAAGGGATTTTATTGAGACGCACCCATTTTATTGAGACACACAGACAGTCTATTCGGCCAAACCCACGAACCCCCCATCCCCATCCTGCGTCAGCACGGAGCTCGCAGGGCAGGAAACCCCCCCACACCCAGCCATCGCCGCTGGGCTCCTGCCCCGGTGGGAGTTCACACAAGCGACGCGACACAACTGGGTCTCAGCCCAGCCCGACGTGGGGCTTGCGGGTTCAAAGCAGGTCAGGGTGGGCCCGGTGTGGTGGATCAGGGCGCGGGGTGGTAGTGGGGCGAGCTGGTGCGGAACGGGGCAGCCCCAGCCTGCCTGGCTCCTGGCAGGTGTTTGGGTCACTCCATCCGGCCAGGGACCGTACCCAGCCGGCCAGTAGGGCGGAAAGGGGAATGCCGGCAGATAGCTCAGTCTCAGGTTGCTCCTCGGCCCAGCGAGGCCTCCACTTTTCAGATCTGTCCCTGGCCACGTCCCCTCCAGAGGCCAAATCCCGCTGGGCACTGGCTGAGGGTCCCCTGGGGGATACCGGGAGGGCAGCACCGCACCACCCCGGGCCTTCTTCGCAGAGGCCGGGAGATGCTCTGCTCCTGGCGGGCTGCCCTCGGCCACGGGCCGGAGCCTCGGCCCCAGCAGGGAGCGCCCCGCTGCGCTGTCTGCCCCCCTGGGGCTCGCCGTCTCCCCCAGGTCCGGCTGCTGACGCTGGCCCTTGCGGAACTTGGCCCGGCGGTTTTTGAACCACACCTGGCAGGGGAGGGGCCAAAGGGATGATTAATGACTCAGCCGCTGTCGGCCAGCGGCCTGCACCGTGCACGTGGGACCCACCCGCGCTTGCTGGGGCGTTCTTCCCCCTCAAGGGGGGCACAGATCTGCCCAGAGGCATGACAGCACCATGGTTCCCTGCCCCACACAGTCTAGATGGAGGGGGAGATACAGGCCAGTCCCATGGGGCTGGGGAGGCAGAGGGACCCGAAAGGGTAAGTTCCTGAAAGAGCCAGACCCCCCCAGCCCAGCTCCCAAGGGAGCCACTGGCAGCCCAGATCCAGCCCGGTCTGAAGCTCCCCAGGGCGTGGGTGCAAGGCGCCCGTTGGGGTTACCTGGACCCTGGCCTCGGGCAGGTTGACGAGCACAGCCAGCCGCTCCCTGGTCACCGCGTCGGGGTAGTGGGTTTTCTCAAAGGCTGTCTCCAGTGCCTCCAGCTGGGAGCCGGTGAATGCCGTGCGGCTCCGGCGCTGCTTCTGGGGGATCCCGTAGCGTGCTTCCAGCAGGAGCTCTGGGGAGCAAGGAGAGGGACTGGAATGAAAGAACTCAAATCCTCAGTGTGGAGTCAACTCCTGGGGCCTGCCCTGCCACAGAAAAACAATCCTCAGAAAGCACCTCAACATGCTTCACTTGAGGTCATCCACCCACCACTGAAATGCAGCCACCTCTGGGGTAGGGCATGGCAGCTGTTTCACAGCCCACAGCAATGCTGCACAACCAGTTAGAAGAGAAGCTGAAGAAGACTTCTCGGGGCAGATCTGGGCAGGGCCAATGGCATCGCCCATGCTGGAATTTGGCCAGGACACCTGAGTTCAAATTCCTGATCTTGTGAAAAGTAAAGTGCCACAGGGACCTTTAAGGACCTGATGCCCCTTCCCGCCGCAGCGCAGTGCCCCACACACCACGATGCAGCTGGCTCAGACCCCTGTGGCCAGCAGCATGTCTTACCCTAGCGGCTTTCCTTGGAGGCTTCCCAGCTACCGAACCCGCCTGAGGCCCGACCATTTATTCCTACTGGGGAGCAGAGCGGGACCCCGTCGTCCCAGCTCAGGGAGAGATCTCCAGTACTGGACACTACCCACACGGAGAGGTGGGGGCAAGGGCCAGCTCAGGGGTCCCCATCTGGTACATTTCCTATAAGGAACGTGACTGCAATAGGCCAGGTGTGTCCGTGGGTCCTGGCCCTGCGTCCTTAGATCACAGCATCACGGGGCTAAGGCTGCTGCTCTGGCCCCCAGCACTGTCCGGGCAGCTCCCAATCTTTGCTGCAGTTCTCCGCACAACCCCGGTAAATTGGCAACGCCTCGCGCCACGCCCTGCTCCCCCCAAGCCAGACCCCCGCTCCTCGCCCACCCTACCTGCTAGCCGATCCACCACGCTCACTGCACGCAGGGAGGAGGGCTGTGGGGCCGGGGAGGGCAGCAGCTGGTTCAGGCTGTAGTTCAGGGAGAGGGGGTTCATGCTGCCGAGGGTCTGAGCACCCTCGCCGAGGTAGTACATGGAGGGGCCCAGCTGGCAGCCGGGGGTCTCACACCAAGGCCCTGGAAACAAAAGGCAGCTTTAAAATATAGTCACCGTAAAGAGAGCAACTCAGCTGCACCCCAGCGGTCGTGTAGGGAGAGGGGGGAGCATCCGGGGTTCTGCCTGGGGGGTTGGGGCAGCAGGGCAGTGCCTGGCAGAGAGAGGGAGGACAGAGCATGCCAGTGATCTCCTAACGCAGAGATTTGGGCCTCAAATATGTGGCCTGAATTATTGTTTATTCTTTGTATTCCAGGAACATCTAGAGGCCTTGGCCAAAGCTCGGGGTCTGGCGCGCAGGGTGCTGTACACCCAGGGAGAGGGAGACCCTGCCCTCAGGGAGCTGACAGTTTAAATGGATCAGACAGGCAATGGGTGGGAAGGGAAACTGAGGCACGGAGCACGGCTGTGACTTACCCCAGGTCACCCAGCAGGTCACAGGTCACACTTCGAGCCCTCAGCTATACACACGTCTATCCACCCTGGTGGTGGGTGTCTGTACTTACCAATTCCACAGACCCCCTTCATATGGCCCTGTACACACAAACGGACCCTCGCCGTGCCCCTCAGGGTGGGACAGAGCCCCAGATCCCCCAGGCCGGCAGCTGTGACGCCAGCCCTTGGCATAAACGGCTTCTTCCGTCACCGAGCTCCCCTTTATTTCTGATGCCAACCGTTCTGAACCAATCAGAGCAAGGGGGGGCGGTCGGTGTGGAACAAGGCCAGCTAAGAGCAATGCCCCTCACCCACATCCCGTGTTTCTTCCCCTCCCCAAGCGCCCCACATGCTCAGTGCATACATGGGGGTGAGGGTATGTGCACATGCCTATGTCTGGGGAGTGCTTTGTACCCAGGATTCCTAGTAATATGCCTGCGGGCTCCCCAAAACCATCCCCCCCTCCATGGCATTTATACACGCAATCTCCCCTTGTCTCAGAACTGCCCTTGGGCAGCATTGATCCAGATGATGCTTTAGCCCTGCCTGATAAACCAACGATCCATCCACCAGCTCTGCTGCACTTCTCTGATCTCCAGCCAGTTCACCAATAACTTCCTGTAGGCAGGGCACCTCTGGGCAGGGGAAGTCTAGCCCAGTGGTTAGGGAATGGCACTGGGTAGGTCCAGGTTCAGTCCCCTGCTCCATCACAGGCTCCCCATGTGACCCTAGGATATGTGAACTCTGCACACCCAGTCCAGGTGCTGACTTCAGGTTTGAGCCCAAGCCCTTCTTCTGTCCACACACAAATCAGCCTGAGTCAAGTCAGCCAGGACCAGGTCCTAGAGCTCTGTTAGTGGAGTGGGTCAGAGCCCAAGGCTCCCAGAGATTTGGTCCGAGCCCTGTCATTTCGCCGTGTGGATGCAGCTTAAGCTGCAGAGCCGAGTCCAGTCTGGGTAGCGCAATATGGACGTATGTGAGACCCGGGTCCAGCAACTGAGCCCAGGTTCACAAAGCAGTGTGGATGCTCAAGCACAGGCTTGGAATCCCCGACACCACAGACCTGGGTTTACAGTGCAGTGCAGGGTACATCCACACTGCAGAAAACCACGGCAGCGAGTCTCAGAGGCTGGGTCAACTGATTCAGGCTTGCAGCACGGGGCTAGGAACAGCCATGTGGACGCTCGCACTCGGGCTGGAGCCTGAGCTCTGGGCCCTATTTTTAGCCCCATTGCACAAGCCCAGATCAGTTGACCCGGGCTCTGAGACGTGGCGCCGCGGGGATTTATGGCAGTGTAGACGGACCCTCAGTGTCTGAGCTCCTCTTTTGTGAAGTGGGGAGAGCAGCACGTCTGGAAACGAACCGTTTCATCCCCGTCTTGTTTGATAAGGTACCGACGTTTCCTCTCGGCTTCCTTTGGGCTAAGCGCATTTCGGCGTTTCTGTTCGTAAGATGACACTGTCTTTACAGAGCCCCTGGTCAATGTTATTTTAATATTTCCCATTACGGGACAGCGTTTCCACCTTATCAAGAGGTCCAAATCAACTGGTTTTTGGAATTTCTGTTTTGCTGAAAATTTCGACGTTTCATCCCGATTCAGGACATCAATTCCATTTTCCAGCCCACTCTAGAGCTAACCTTTCCTACAACGTTCCCCCCACCCCTCCACTTAAAGGGCCAGCTTTCCACTTCTCAGAGTCACGGCAGCTGTCACCTGCAGGCCTGAGCAGAGGCAGGTGGAAGAGCAAAGGGGGCTGGCTGGCCATGGGGCAGCCCTACTCTGGTGTAGAACCAAAGAGAGAGGAAAGGCGGGCGTGGTCTCCTGGGGTCCCATGGGGATAATGCTGTGATACCTTTTGCCTCTCGGTACCCGGGGCCTGAGCCTCCATTGCCCTGCAGCTAGTGCAGTCGTGCACGCTAGTGCAGCGTGCGTGCAAAGCATCACCGTTCTGTCTGGAAGCATTCACGCCCACCTTGCACGGCTGTGACTGCACACGGCTGCGAGGAGCACCGGGGAGTCAGGTCCCCGGCCTCTCCACGCCCAAGGGGCTGAGGCCGAAGGGCAGCCAGCAGAGCTGTGGGCGGGAATAGCAGGGGGCTGCAGATCAGGAGTGAGGGGCATCAGCAGAGCTGTGTGTACGGGGAGAGCCCAGGGCTGGCATAGCAGGAGGACGGTGGGCAGGATCGGAGGGCAAAGCTGGGGAAAGGGAGCCTGGCACTGCATCTCCCCACTCTGTGCCTGTCTCTCCCCGCCCGATCCATCCCCCGCTTTCGGGACCACCCAGCTGACACATGCTGATGACAAAGGGTCGTTTTTCTTGAGGCACATGGGCTGCTCCCTGTCCCACCCTCCCTCCGGCAGAGGGGAGTCCAGGCCTGTGTGATCAGCACCCACCCTAGGCACTGGGCTGGCAGCTCTCCGATCTCCCTGGCGCATCCTGCTTCCTGGGGGCTCTGCTGACCGTATCACCCTGAAACACCCCAAGGATCCCCCACATCCAACCCCCCCCCCCCCCGCAGGCTCTCTCACCTCTTCTGACCTGCCCAGGAAGGACACCGGCCTCCTCTTCTCCCCACGACAGAGGGCCCCAGGGCTATGGGGAACCACGGCCAAAATTTCTCCCAGCTTCTCTGCCCTGGGCTATTTAAAAGGGATCAGCCCATACCCCCCTCTGCCTGTTGCAGCCGCCAACCAATGGGGCTGGGGGAAGCCTCCAGCCAGATTAGGGATTTGGTTTTCGTCCTCTCCAAAGGGAATCGCAATGGTTTCTAAGCTGGGCTCAGCTCATGGGGGTCCCATTATTCCCCATTCAGGCTGTGGATTAGACGCAGGCAGGGGTGGAAGAATGCAGAGGGTTGGGCTGCGGACCCCCACCCCTCTCCACCATCCCCTCCCCCCGCACCCTCTTGCTGGTTCGGTTGTTCGACAGACGGCAGGTGGCGTTGCCTAGTGAACAGGGCAGCTGAGGACTCCTGGGTTCTACTCCACTGGCCTCCTGTGTGACCTCGGGCAAATCATTTCCCCTCCCGACCCCACACACCTCCGTACCTCAGTTTACCCAGCTATGGAATGGGCATGGCGAGCATGGGGCTGGGAGTTCCTGTCTGCCGAGTGCAGCCTGTAACTGCAGAGCATTGAGATCCTTCCCCGGCGGGCTGTGGGGAGAGGGAATTTAAAAGCTGCCCCCAGACTGCAGGGCCCATGGCAGTGGTGGGGCTGGAATGGTGTGAGTCCTACCAGGTTCGCACACACAAACATGGGGGGACACAGACACAAACACAGGCCATCGCAGCTAGTGAGGATTTTCGAGTCGGCGAATCAAACAACAGCCCTTCCCCTTCGCTGCCAGCTTTCCATGAAGCCCTCGAAGCGCTGAATCAGTCTGATGTTTTGCAGTCGCACGTAACAGCCCAGCCAAGACCAGGCGCTGCTCAGGCCCAGACTGAGACTCAGCCCCCACTCCGCCCGCCCCCCCCTTCCCCCCCGGATCTTCCAGTCCACACGGACAAGACAAAGGACTCACTAACTCACTCCTCTCCTTCCAGGCTGGCAGGGGCACCCCAGGTCCCACGGCGAGTTAGCAGACAGTTCGGGAACCCAACGCCCCTGCTTCTTAGTCCAGTGCGGTCCCCCCCACACATCGAGCTCACAAAGGTCCCATAAGCCAACTTTTGGTTCATGGAATTTCATACAGAACATTTTGCTGCTTCTTTTTGCATGGTTTTG